GTGAGGAATTGAGTGAATTCTCTAAGGCATGTTACCACTTTCAAATGTTGTTTTAATTGATTAAATGTGAGCTAGTGAGTGTTTACTGTGATTAAGTATGAGCTCGAGGGTAAGGATAGCTCAAATCTGTGTGAGTAGTGATTTTTAACATGTCATGTTTCATTGGAAATCCCTGAGGCAATTGTTGGAAGGTTTAGGTTTTGTTTTGTTTTCTTTGTTCTGCTAGGTACTAGCAAAAGCTAAGTGTGGGGGAATTTGATAGGAGCATATTTATGGGACTTTGCTATCTTATTTCTTTGCATTTACTTCATTTATTCTCATTTATTAGAGTGATTTAGCTTATTTTCGTACTATTGTAGGTCCAGATGGCAAGATTGGCAAGAAAGGGCATTTTGGAGCATTTTAGAGCAGCTTTGGACTTGGAATGGATAGCATATGCATGGGCCAAGATGGATGGACGTTTTTGAAGTTCGAATAGGCTAGGAATGTGCTAAAAAGATGGGGAAATTAATTCAAGAATCAGCTTCTGGGAAGTAAAAAACCCTAACTGATTTTATTTTATTTTACCTTATCCTAATCCTATTCGACCTAAATTCCAGCTAGAAAAGGGGGGGATTAATTTCATATTAGGAAACCTAAAAACCCTAATTTCATGGGTTTCTATTGGGCCCTTTTACCCTAGATCTACCACATATATAAAGGAGGGGTTGCTGCAGGAGAAGAGGGTTTTTTTGGTGCCGTAGCAAGAAAGGAGAAAGGGAGAAGAAGAACTTGGGGCCGGAACTTGCTGCATCCATTGGGTTTTTCAGAGTTCTTCCTTTGATTAGTTCAAATGTTTATTGTAGATTGCTTTTCAATTATTATGAACTTGTGTAACTGAATTTCTTCTTAGCTAGAGGTGAATTCGAAGCCATGGACATATGTTTTACATGAATTGATTACTTCCAGTTATGGTTTCATGAAGTATGAATGTGATTTACTTTTCTGTTTTATTGAGGACTTATTCTTGCATGTTTATTAAGGATGCATACTTAGTTTGTATGCAGGGATTTGATGCTAGAATATAAGGGAATTTCACCTAATCGTTATGAACTTATATTCA